TGTTCAGGGCTTGCTATATTGGGAGAACTGGGCACTGATGATGCCAAGAAACTTTGGTTTCTGTTGCTTATGTTCCTGCGCTTGCCTTTCGCCATCTGGTTAACTCTAGTGTTGCCTGCCCTCACTGTTGAAGACTGGAGTCTGTATTTCCAGTTATCTTGCTTATTGCAGAGCTCCTCGGAGTCCAGAGGTCTCTGTGGTCTTATGCCACTAATCTCCTGGGTGGAAGAACTCCTGGGACTCAGGCCACCTCTTGGATCTGGAAATCCTTCTGCTCTAAGTGCAGTGGCTCCTCGGCTGCTCTGAGTGCAGTGGGTCCTCGATGACTCAGGATTCAGTTTCAGCTGCTCTGAGTGCAGTGGCTCTTAGATGACTCAGGATTCAGTTTCTCCACAGGACAGGAGCAGACCAACTCTGTGTCAGCTGCTCTGAGTGCAGTGGCTCCAGCTGCTCTGAGTGCAGTGGGTCCCCGATGACTCAGGATTCAGTTTCAGCTGCTCTGAGTGTAGTGGCTCCTGGATGACTCAGGATTCAGTTTCTCCACAGGACAGGAGCAGACCAACTCTGTGTCTGCTCCAGCCCAAAGGATCAGGCAGGGGCCGAAGGGAAGTGGAATTCCGAAGGGGCGGGGTTTGGGTAGCTGCTGTGCCCTGAATGTCCCTGGCTCCCAGATGTATCTCTGGGACTTAGGGAGTGAGATGGAGTTCTTACCAGCTGCTCTGACTGCAGTGGCTCCTGGATGACTCAGGATTCAGTTTCTCGACAGGACAGGAGCAGACCAACTCTGTGTCTGCTCCAGCCCAAAGGACCAGGCAGGGGCCCGAAGGCTATATTTACATATATTAACAGCTGAGTTGCTGTAGAGTCTGGGAAAAGACTCGCCAATAGAGTTTTGATGTATCAATATTTCCTTCAAGTATTTTAGGGTTCTGTTCTTAGGTGCAATTTTTAAATAACGTATCTCCACTCTTGGATTGATACTTCTGTCCTGAAACAACCTTGTCTCTCATAATAGGCATTTTGTTTTTGCCAAAGTTTATTTTACAAGGTGTTTTCTACCACTTCTTTCCAATGTTTCTTTGAAGATAAAGTTTTTTAAGTATACAACTTAAACTTTAATCTTTTACAACCACATTCTATTAATCCCTATTTGGGATGGTTAATTGATTTTCCCTTAATGTAATAATTAGTAAGGTCGACCTTATGTCAGTTTTGGCATTTGCCATATACATATGTATATATATGTTATAAGTAGTTGCCTTTGAAATTGTTATTACTGTTACAATTCCTACACAATTCTTCAATAGTAACACCAACTTACTTTCAATAATAAGTTGGAGCCACAGCCTCAGTTCTTCAGCTCATTTTTGATGTATATTAAGTTGGGGAGTTCTGAAGTAAGCGGTCCTCTTGCTGGTCTTGAAGGATGAGATTGCCATGGACAAAGGCAGCTGTGAGCCAGGGATGCTAAGTGGTCTGTCCTTGCTAGAACTGCTGATGTTGGTCCCTGACCCTGGCCTTTGGAAGACCTTTTGCCTCTGATGGCATTGCAGCCGGAGTCGATGCTTTATGGTCAGTCTGTGAAACACTGAGCAGAGGGACCATCTCCAGCAGACCCAGACTTCTGACCTGAAATAGCCTGAGACAGCATGTGCTGTGTTAAGACTTCTGACCTGAGATAGTCTGAGACAGCATGTGCTGTGTTAAGCTGCCAGCCTCACAGTGTATTCTTATACAGCAGCATGAACAGAAATCCTATTTTAAGGTATGTGCATCCCGTAGAGAAGCATGTGCATGCTCTAAGAAGGCTGCTGTGCTCTCCAAAGCAGTCAGCAGTTTCTCAAGTAGTTGAAAGTCTTTGTAGTTGTCTTTTAATGAATTCATCTCACTCTCAGAACTTTATGCTAAAACCCCTTTATGCTAAGTTCTTTCCCAACAGGTCACATCCTTAGCTGTTTTCCCCTAAGGATACCTTTGACTCAGTGAACTCATGTGATATTTTTGTGACCCATAGACAACATACATCTTGTTGTCCTGTATCCAGTATCCCAGGCTCTGCCTGTCAGGAGCTACACCTGCCATGGGAGAGCCAGGTGAGAGCTGAGAGAAAAGCTATAGCTTTAATATGGGAAATGAAACCTCTGGTGGGGAATTATCCCTGTTTCTAATGCTATCTGCCATTTTCCTAGCAGATTGTACTGATTAAACTCAGCCTAAAGTCAGGAACTGTGGTGGATCAGGATAGGATAGACCAGTGCTGATGTTTCATAGTTAGAGGGGAAGAGTAAGAGAAAATCCTAGGTTCTAGATAACACTGTGCAGAATACTGCTCAGGTTCATGTGTCCCCAAAAACTGATCAGGTGTGACATGCATACATCAAGTTTTGATGTTTAGGTTTTGAAGCTACAGATTTTATTTCACAAGGTGAAAGTTACAGTTTTTCATCTGCAGATATCGTATGCAAATAGACATTTTAATTAATCTCGGATCATTTCCTTTTGCAGGCAAGGACAATGCAGTCTCAGGAGCACAGACATTAACAGAGTAAATGAGGGTTGTAAAAATACATCATAGTTGTTATAATCTGTGGATAATAATACATTACCTCATCAAGAATCAAGTGAGTGAATTTTTCTTGTATTTTGTGGAACTACAAAGCTGTCAACATAGAGGAGCATGACACTTTCATTTGTCTATTAATCTCATAATAATTAGTATGTTAGAGAGAGACACAGAAAGAGGTAATGATGCACATACTGCCCCTTGTCTCCCAGCTTTGCTCTACCAAAGGCAACAACACAAATCAAATAGCTGGATCTAATACAAATAAGAACGATAGTCACACTCTCAGTTGACCCTGAGCCCTATGAGAAAATCCTCGAAAGAACATTTATAAGTTATAAGTGTTCTGGAGATGTACAGTTGTGTCTACTTGTGTAGAAGGCATTCATTGCTGTTTTGATTTTGGTCATCTTAAGATTAGAATGAAGCACAGAAACCGAGTGAGGCGTAATGGGTCTGAACGGCGCTGACTGTGGCCTGCTGAAGCCACGGATGTTCACTTCATCTATTCAGCACAGCATCTAAGGTCCCGAGGCCATTGGTCCTTGGGTTCATATCCTCTCCCGACAGCAGAAGAAGTTCAGCTTGCACTTGCCCGCAATCTTCTCACTGTCCATGCATGTCCTCCTGCATTTCCCCCGGCCGAGCCTGCATGTCTCACACACAGCAAAATCACCTGTGACAGGAAAGAGCTGATGAGATATTTGCTGGAACTTTGTGGGAATGGGAAGAATACCTAAGGCCCCCTGACAGGCAGGGTTTGTGAGTATGGCTCGGAGTTTTTTCTAGAATTAGGCCAGAGTCATTGGGGATAGCTCAGTTGGCAAAGTGTTTCTTGGGTAAGCATGAGACCCTGAGTCTGATCCTCCATGCTCAGATAAAAAGCCAGGCACTTGTGTACACTTACAGTCCTCAGCTGGGGAAGTAGGGACAGCTGAATCTCTGAGGCTCAGTGGTCAGCCTAGCTGAATTTGTGGTAGATTCTGTCTCAGAAAACAAGGTGGAGTGTCATTAAATTTGACCTCTGGCCCCTATACATGCACACACACACACACACACACACACACACTATAAGAGCACTACCCCATAGCATCTGCTAACCACAGAGTGGAGCTGAAAAGAGATTAAAAACAATAGGCAACCACCACCCGTGTCCCCCAGGTGTTTATTGTCTTTCATAGGCCCGATGTAAGTGACAGAGCATCATCTATTCTTCAGAACTATTAAAATGCATGTCTGTACTTTTGAAAATTTACTAGCCTTTGGTTTCAAGCCCTCGAAGCTGGAATGAATAATTTAATCTCAATACTTGTTTGGGCCTAGTACTAGCTCCTTCATTTACCTAGCCTCATTCACCTGAGGGTCATATTAAAAATACCAGAAATACCTGTACACAATTTTAATTTCATCTGTATCCTCTTCTGTGACTCTCTGGCATTGAAGCAGGGTCTCTCTTCGAACCTTAGCTCATTTTCCTAGCTTTTCTGGTTCCCAGTGAACCACCTAGGTCTGCCCTTGAACCCCCTAGCTCTACTCCATAGTGCTGGGGTTACAGGCTCAAGTAGAACTCTGTGTGTGCTGGAGTCCAGACTTGGATCCTCATAGTGACGCAGCAAGCACTCCTAACCTGTGAGCCACTTTTCGAGCCCTGCAAGAATATTTTAATTTGTAATTGTGTTTGCATTGTGCTTTCTTCCTATGCAGGAGAAGCTTTGGTGCACACCCAGAGCTTGTGGCTAACCGGTATAAACAGTGCTTATCTAATGAGGGTGTTGCCTCAGCGACCATGTGCACCATTCTACCTGATCCTCCTCACCCAGCAGATGCCCTTGTGCAGACTTCATTCAAGTTAGGTCCTAAGGACGGAAGCCAGGATCTCTGGGTAATGATAATTGGTGAGGGCAAGGTTGAACCTAAGCATCACAAATTAACAGGAAAGTCACTGGAAAAT